GTTCGTTAGCCATTTGTATTTTTTTTGGTTTAGTCTGTGGAAGTCATTGAGGTCTCTATTATTCACTGTTTTGGTTTTTAACACATGTACATGATTGTGGCTGTTTCTCAGTCCAGAGTTTTAGTGTTCTCTCGACGGAGATTCAGCAATGAATGAACCAAGTACCAAATTATATACCAAACAATGGACTAAAAATGGTGGTGGGGGTACGTGTATGCACTGGCTAGATTTCTCAGCTAGTGAATCTCCGCGAAGGAGAGGGTTTTTTTAATATATAAACGAACTCTCCTGCAGCAGCATGCAGCTTCCAGAAAAAGAATCACACAGGAAAACTCCGTACACAACATTATAAATGTCGTGATTCTCTAAGACCCTTAATTATCGTCTAAAATTCTAATCTAACGATTGAACGTTCCCACACGATACAGTGTTATCGCTCAGATGTATCAAATAATTACAATTACACAGTGTTACGAGGTCTACTAACAATCCTGATTTCGCATCAGGTTCGTTCACGACAACACCTATTCCGAAAGAAAGATTTCTCCAACCTAGCGGCTCTCTAATTTCGCAGTGGATTCGTTCATGAAATTTCGCGAGAAGGAGAGGGGAAGAAAGAAAGAGGCGCCAAATGAATAAAATGCGAGTCAGCGATTGCGATCAAATGATTTTCGAGTGCAGTGATTTACTTTATGCATTTTATCATCGTCATTGTGTCAATATGTATATATAATATATAGTATCTAAGATTTTTAGCGTAGTTTAGTATATTTTAAGAAGCGTGAATATGCAAATAAGTGTGAACGAAGAACAATAAAAGAGGGAAAGTTGTACCAGCTGAAGACAGTTGGCCTGTACAACGTCGCAGGCACAGGGCTCATAGTTTAGGTTTTAAGGAGTGTATTCGAAAGTGTATTGAGAGTGCGAATGAGAAGAATGCTTGTGGGAAAGAAAGTCATGCGTTGACTTTCATGGCAATAAGTTGTAAAAGTCGTATGTTGTGAGCCGGCCGTCAAGGCAAAATGTTGTTTATTTTATATATATATATATTTGATTAATAAGCACTTGATATTTTGTTTTCTAATCTCAGTTGTTTCTATTTCCTATTTTCTAATGTAGGGCTACTAAAATAAAAACTAAGTCTGTAGTCAGGTTAAATATATTTATTACGCGATGTGGCTCTAACGAGGAACGGCGACTAACTGCTTCTCCTCAACATGATCCCAGCTGGTCTGTTACTCAAAAGTGAAGGGGGGCAAGGGGATTCAGCCGCACACTCCACTTCTGCTCGCAGCTGGACCGGTAACAAAGACGTGCAGAAACTAATTCCGCCATTACTATCGAGCAGAGCGCCGCTAGCAGACGTTCCCTCCTGCCTCTTTTTTCCCCTTTATTAACGTGGAGGAAATTTTGCACCAGACACCACCCGACGGTCTGGGGGAACGGCGAAAAATCTTCACGGCGACCTTCTACAGACTTTGTAGGAGGAGTTACGGGAACTCTGCACAGAACTAACCCGCAGCACCTCCAAGCCCAGCTGGCCATTTTTTTACCTGGCCTTGAGAAGCAAGAGGTTTCCACCTATTTCCTTTATGACGACTCGGCGCAGCGCCACAAAGGCGGTGTACACCTCCAGCGTGTGCTGCGCCGAGTCCTCCACCTCGCCACATTGGTGACAGACCACCGTCGCTTCCTTTCCGATGCGACACAGGTAGACACCGAAGCAACAGTGCCCGGTGAATACCTGCATCGCACGGTAGGTAAGCCTACTGAAGCTTTTTCTCTACCACTTATTGAGCTGTGGCAGAAGAGCCCCGGGGACCCGTTCGCCGGCGTGAGGGAGTAACACTCTACGCCATCTGACTTGAGCGAGTCGCCAGGCCCGAAGTTCGAAGCTCTCGACCATTTCCGGCTCCGGCGGGCGCATCGCCGCCTGCAACTCGGAGCAAATATCGTCCGCCAGAGCTAGCGCCGCAGTCCAGCACTTTCTGGCCCCTCGAATCTTCGGGATCCTGGGGGACCCCGAAGCCTGAGACTTGACGTTAAAGTCCCCCAGGACGAGCACCGGACGGGGTAGACAGTGGGAGACGCATATCCCTAACTCGTGCAGGTGCTCCTCCAACCTCTCCAGCGGCCACTTGGAAGATGCATAAACTACGGTTCCACCCTAGTCTACAGCTAGGTATCTCCGCCCGCGCTCGACCAGCGAGCACGGTGGGAACCCTGGTTTGCCACAGCAATATATCGCGGCGGAGCCGTCCAAGTCCCCCATCCAGTTTGAGTAATCGGGGACCTGATATAGCTCCGTCACGACGGTCAACTCCGTACTCCACTCCACTAGGACCTGCATAAGCAGATCATGTGCCGTGGCTGAACGTTTGAAGTGGACCTATATAATTGGGCCCTCAAACCCCATTATTCGGCTGAGGTATATCCCCATATCTCCACTTCAAAGCCCGAGGTCTTGCCGTTGGTAGCTCTGCGGCCACCGACGTCTTACTAGCCGTTGGTAGCTCTGCGGCCACCGACACCTTACTAGCCGTGAAAGCACTAAGGCTCGTCGAGGCTGGGGCTGCTGGGACGCTTGCCGGAGTCCCAGTCTTCCTCTTCGATTTTTGGCCTTTGGCTTTGGCGGCCCCTGGTCTGAATACACCAGGTGCGGTCGCACCTCCTCATTTTTCGGCAGCGTTAGGGGTCGCAGAGCCGACTCCAACCGTCGCTGTATCGGTCGTGCGCTTGTCGAAGGTGGTCGCACCGAGTTTGACGAGGGCGGCATCTGCACCTGCCCTACCAGCTCGAAGAACCTGACCATTTCGGGCTTCATCTCTGCCAGCTGACCCCGGAGAAGGTTGAGCTCCACCTCCAGGGCCCTAGTGGCAGCCGTCGCCGACCAACTGGTAATCACGGTGACCCCCGATCGCGCCTTAAGAGCGGCATCCACAGGGCCCGTGTGAGGTTACTCCTAAGGCCCTTAGAGCCTTCTCTATCACCGCTGCGGACTCCATGACGGCAACCACGATGTCTGCCGTCGGTTGCAGGTGAAATTCCTCCTCTAGCTCCTGTCTGTCGGGGAGGCGGATGGAGAATCTTCTCGGCTGTGGAGGAGACAGGCCTCCACGTATTTACGTTTGGCCTCAATAAGGCCAACATAATCGCCGGACGTCGGTGCCCATCCTCTCTTCTTGCCACCCTTCTCCAATCCGCGGCTCGTCACGGACCAAGTCGATGACTTCGACTCGTCAGAGTCGGCTCGCGCATCCTCCTCGAAGTCGGGAGCGGGGATGGGCAGGTATATCCTCTCACTACGCATCGTACGGTACTGCACCGTCGTGTCGTCCACATCAGCGCCCTCGGCGCTGGTGACTGGGCCAGGAAAGGACACACTCTCTACCCTGCCGTCACCGATTACAATGGGGTTTCCGATCCCCGGTGAACTTGCGCGATCGAGACCGTGGTCTCGAATTCGCAATCCTCTCCAATGTTACGCTGAGTACTCCAGCAGTTCTCTCCCCCTCGCTCTTCACTTCGCCGTTTGTTTTGGTGATCAATGAATCGGGGTTGGTCGCTGGCGACTGATGCAACCTCCAGCCACGCCTGGCGCTCACTCTGAGCGCGTCCTCCTTACCGCGTGCCGCAGCTTGGGGCTAGGGATTTTTTGTCGGGGTTGTCATCCTCGTGAGCTGGCCAGTTATGGCAAGCTCCCCGTTCCAGTAAAACATGACCACTGGTTTACGGGTGTAATTGAGCTAGGGCACTCCGGGTTCGGAACTCGTACTGGACTGCCACGCGGCCCGGCCCCTGGAGAGCTCCCGCTTGCCATTCGCTCTTTAGTCCCCTGTACCGACGGGTGTCGGCGCGAAGTTACATGGAGCCCCACGTGAAGGTGGGGCAAGTGGTCTTGACCAGACGCAGCCCTTCGACTTCGCCGAATTTCCCCGCCCAATTTGACGCCGAAGCGTCTGCCTAGTGTAAGGAAATATCAGCTCCATTGTGGTTTTTGACTCAACCTGTAGATTCGTCCGAGAAGTATGGGGACCGTACAGGTGGAGTCCCCATATCATCAATGAACTGCCCTGGCATTGAGAAAGTCACACCCAGTCTCGTTCCCCCGCCTACCTCTCTACCCGTTTCAGACGCTGACCGTCTGAGATTATGTGAATAACCCACTGTAAACTACTCATGTAATGATGAAATTTGTATTTATTAAATGTATTTTTTACTTCTTGTTTCCTTTGAATACAGATTACACCGTAAATCATATAACATTAAATTATTTTACAATTTTAAAGTTTATTATATATGATAGTAATTAGTGTCAATACAAAATATCTAATATTAATTAAAAATACTTTGATATGTTATGTGTCATTATAGTTAGTTTCAGATTTTGTAAACGCAAAGCCATTTCAAATTACATTATACAATATTTTCATATCATTGTCATCAAACTCTATTTATTGTTATAGTTCTTATCAGTAGTCATAAAAAAATTAACGAAAATATTTGACTTATATATTATTATGGTACAAATTTGATAAATATTGATCAATTGAAATAAAGAATATAACAAATACATATTTAGCTATTTAGATCTTTTACTTCGAAATTTAGATAACATTTTATTTATTTCTTTAAGATGCGAAATTACATTTATTTATTCTTGAAAAGTTGCAATTTTGAAGAAAAAAATTTTTAAATTGAATCAAAATACTAAATGGTAAACAGTTTATCAACAGATATATATGAGAACATTTGCCACAATGCAGAATAAATTTTAATAAAACGTGAACTGAAGTTAAAACTTAAAAAGTATACAACTACGCTTGACTATAAGTCAAACATTATACTGAACGGGTACATAACGATGTTCAATTACAATAAAAAAGTTATAAATAATAGTTAAAAGTTTATGTTTAGAATTACTATTAGTTTTTCGAAACATAAAAGCAAGTACGAAAAAATTATAACTGTAGTAATAAATTTCATATGATTTATCTTGCCATAATATTGTATTCAGAATTAATTAAATGAAATCATAATTTTTTGTTTTATATAGATACTTGAAGTTCATATGATGACCATTAGAAGATATGATACATAATGTAACGTATATTTAAAATACACAAATTGTATTTAACATTCTTAGAACTTAAATCTATGCGAATAATTTAATCTATCTGTACAAAATTATTCCTTAAACTGTATTATGAGTTAAATTTCATCTGCTGTATATTACAAAAACAGCAAGGTACAAATACATCAATGTTTATGATACCATCAGTCGAGGCGCAATATTCATTGCCATAAGTTCTTGGAAAAGTAATTTTGCTGCATATGGCAACCTAACTTGAGAAATCTGTGTTTTGTTTTTACATCCTTTACATTCAAATGTGTTATTTCTTAAATTTGCTATTGCAATCAGGCCGCAGAAATTACATATGTGTATTCGATATGGATCTGAAACTTCGAATAAACGTTCTCTGAGAAATTGTGCAGCTCCATGAGAAATTTGACAATCACGCTCCATTTCACCAAAACGTAAACCTCCATCTCTATAAATAAATAATAAATTATATAATAAATATTATAATAAAAAATGAAAACAGTAGAATTAATTCAATTTACCTTGCTCTTCCTTCCATAGGTTGTCGAACTAAAATTTGAACAGGTCCACGTGCTCTGCTATGAATTTTGTCATCTACCATGTGTTTTAAACGTTGGTAATAAGTTGGTCCTAAAAATACTTGGGCATTAATTTTGCGGCCAGTGTGACCATTATACATAACTTCGTTTCCTCTTAGTTGATATCCATATTCTTGCAAAAGTGTAGATATTTTTTGTACATTTACAGCATCATTAAATGGTGTAGCATCACCAATTTCACCTATTAAAAAAAAAATTATATTTTAAATACTGAGAATTTTTAAAATTTTTGGTAAATTATTAGTTATTTTATTAAAATGTACCTTTGTTAGCTGATACTTTTCCTTGGATACATTCAATTAAATGGCCAATAGTCATACGTGATGGGATAGCATGAGGATTAATTATAATATCTGGTGTGAGACCTTCACATGAAAATGGCATATCTTCTTGTCTATATTGAATTCCACAAGTTCCTTTTTGTCCATGACGTGAAGCAAACTTGTCACCAATTTGTGGAATTCTAACACTACGTACTCTTATTTTACAAAATTTATAACCTTCACTATTTAGAGTTAACATTACTTGATCCACTATACCAGTTTCACTGTTACGTAAGAAGGTAGATGCATCTCTTTTTGTAAAACGTTTTGTTGTACTATCCAACTAAAAAATTAGTTAAAATAAAAAGAATTGAAATATACTATCTAATATAAATTTTAAGTAATATTATAGTAATGTATACCTCATCATCTGCTTCTGGTAAAGTGATAGTTTTCCCTATAACTACATCATCTCCAGATACACGAATTCCAGGAGCAATAATCCCATCATCATCTAATTTGTCATATATAGCATTTCGCATTCCTTGACAGGTCTGGCGTGTGGGTTTTTCAAATTGTTCTTCTTGATCACCGATACGTTTAGACTCAGAATCTTTGTAAGATCTATAAAATACAGATCGGAAGAAACCTCTTTCAACAGCACTAGCATTTAAGATAACGCTGTCTTCTTGATTATAACCGGTATAACATAATATAGCAACAATGCTGTTAATTCCAGCTGGTAATTCACGAAACCTGAGATATTCCATGGACCTTGTTGTAACTAAGGGTTTGTGAGGGTAATACAACACATGAGCTAAAGTATCCATTCGTACATGAAAATTTGTGATGTATACTCCCATAGCTTGTTTACCCATAGCACTTTGATAAGTATTTCTTGGACTTTGATTATGATCAGGAAATGGAATAATTGAGGCACATACTCCTAAAATCATAGCTGGATGAATTTCACAATGTGTATATGTTGTACAATAAGCATACTCCTTTTCTTGTCTTAGGTCTTCAGGTGACATTGCAATCATAACAGTCTCTTCCTCTAAAGTATCAATATATTCTACTACCCCGCTACCTACTAATTCCTGCCAGCCATCATTATTGTAGTCTCTCTCCTTTAACATATCAATATGTCTCTTCTTTAATAATAGATTTTGTCCTTCAACAATTAATAATGGTCTACTAATCCTTCCTGCATCTGTATATATTCTAATTTCACGATCTCTAATATCTCTTATCATAGACACTTCTGACACAATAATGTCCATTTGTCGTCTTAATTTACGTAAAGTAGCCATTAATTGATCAGGATCTCTGTGAATACCAACCCAGCAACCATTTACAAATATTTTTGTTGCATCAGCTATCGCACTTGGTGCAATTTCTTCTAGATTTTCCATAGACCATTCCTCTAAGAATTCAAGAATTGGCGAAGGTTGAGACCCAACGCTAATGTAGGCCATTAAAGCCAAGTTTTTCACTAAACCAACAGCAGCACCTTCAGGTGTTTCAGCAGGGCATAACATACCCCATAATGTATTATGTAACTGACGTGGCTTAGCTAATTTACCATCTCTTCCTATCGGAGAATTTACTCTTCTTAAATGTGAAAGTGTAGATGCAAATGTCAATCTATTTAATACTTGAGACACACCAGCTCTAGCTTGATGAGCCTTTTTTTGATCACCCCAATTGCCTGTAGCAAGTGAATATCTTAGACCATCAGTTATAATTTTGGTTTTAATAGCAAGCTCAAGATTAAAATCTTTTCCTCTGTCTATAAATTTCTGTGCATATAATCGCACTTCTTTCATTAAGTTCTTAAACAAACCTCTAAATAAAAATGCTAATAATGGACCAGCTAAGTCCAATCGCTTGTTGCCATAATGATCTCGATCGTCTAACTCCCTTCTGCCAAGCGATGCTGATAACAACCTGTGTACCATATAACCAAGAAAATAAGCCTTTTTAGTTTCACAGAAATCACTTATACCAACATGTGGAAGCATTTCCTTCTGTAAAATTTCTCTAGCATATTTAATACGTTTCTCTTTTGTTACTCCAGGTCTTGCACCTCTGGTACCAATAAAATTTAATGCAACGTTTTGTTCTTGTATAACAAAAGCTTCATCTAAAGATGGCTTTACCATTTCCATCATTTCAGGATCATCAAAGTCATATATAATATGTTCGAGAATATCACGATCTGCTACAAATCCAAGTGCTCGAAAAACAATCATAATAGGAATTTCCTGTTTTATATATGGAATAATTGCAATAATACGTTGTCCTATAGCAGACTTTTTAATACTAGCTCCACTTTTGGCCATCATATTAATCCATAATGTGGATGTAGGACGAGAACTATGTTCCAAGCAAGATCGAATTTCAGATTTATATGCATATTTGCCATCCTTCATACTAAATACATAAACTGTGTTTGTTGCCATTTTTTCCTGAGCAATTAACACTTTTTCTGATCCATTAATGATAAAATAACCACCAGGATCTAATGGACATTCATTTAATTCAGTTAAATCACGATCGGATAAGCCAGCAAGCAAACAATATTTTGATCTCAACATAATTGGAATTTTTCCTATGAATGTTTTTTGATGTTGAGTTTCAATTGGGTCTTCGCCATCTTTTACAATGGTTTTTGTTATATCTACATATAATGGTGCAGAATAAGTTAAATTTCTAAGCCTAGCTTCATTAGGCATCATAGGAGATGGAGCACCATCTTTTTCCCAGTGGGTAGGCTTTGATAAATAGATTTGTTCAAATTTCAATAAATGTCTAACAGGATTTTCTATTTCACCCGAAGTATGTTGTGCTTCTGCTTGAAGATCAATTTGTGGTGAATCTTCTACAATTCTTTGAACAGACATTTCAATGAACTCATCAAAACTATCGAGCTGTTGTCGCACAAGACCCTTTTCATCAAAATAGGCATTAATGACAATCCAGCAGGCTTCTTGCCAAAGTTTTGATGAAATTTCCTCCGCATCTTCATCATCATATTGATCTATACAATGATAAAAGTATATACATATTAGAATTTTGAAGTTAAAAAAAATACGTCTGTATTAAATATCTTTGTATAAAAAAATGTACTGTTTAAAATTATAACATATAAACAAAAGATGTATTAAGGTTATGTTATAATATTATTACTTTTAATTTTCGTTATTACTATTCGTCAATGTAAATATTATTTTTCTACTTACCATCCTCTAAGGCATACATCGTTTTCTCATAAAAATTTTATGAGTGCACAAGTAATATTTTAATATCAAACTTTAACGCACCAAAAAATCTTTCATACGCATTCAAACGAATGTGATGCAAACTGAAATTCTAATACGTATGCATCACATTTAATAATTTTTCAGCGTAATTTTCTATTAACCATAGATTAGTTATATATTTTATAAATTAATAACTACTTTGATTTTTATAATCGTGTAACGTGAATTATATTTGGATTAATAAATAAAATAATACATCAGGGATGTCTAGTACCTAGCTGACTCCCCTTATACTAGTAACACTCGATCAACATTCCCCCACTACCTCTACTTTAGTACTGTCCAAGCTGTATATGCGAGCAGTTCTATATAGTGTTCAATGCACAGGTTAAAGTAAGTATGGAGAGGGTATTTTTTTCGTGACGAAAATGTCACTATGGAGCTTGTGAGCTCCCAGTTACTGAGACACCCCTGATAAACATTTTTTGAGGTTTTAATGTAACTTAATTTTCTTAATATGTATACAGTTTGATCTCTTGTGTCTCAAATATATTACAAAAAACAATATTTCCATCCATAGTACAATTTTTACGGTGACGATTACAGCGCCATCTGCACATGGTTGTTCCGTCAGTAATCGACATTTAAATTTTTACCTTCTGATCTAATTAAATTTCTTTGATTGTTAAATTGCTAATATCAAAATAATATGATAATATTACTGTGAATATAATATTATATAAAATACTCATGAACAAAAATAAATGATATTACTAAATTTGTATTATCAAACAAGGCATAATGAAGAGTTTATATCTAATGTTAATTTGTATCGTACAGTTGAAAGTACAAACAAGGGATTACTTGCAATACACAAGTATCTATCTATAAGTATGCTATTAAAATGTGCAGCAATTTCAAGCTTTATGCGATTAAAAATGACTTGTAATAATAATAATAATAATAATTTGGTAAAGATTAGTGAATATTTTACGAAAATACTTTTAATTATTGTTTTGTTAGTTTTTTGTGTGATTTTTCTGACACTCATATAAAAGTTTGTTCGTGGTAATGCAAATTTTAAATCACCATGCTCTTTGCCAGTTCGGTGAACAAGGAATTTTCAAGATCTCACGTAGATACGTGCTGCGTCACATCCCTTTGTTCTTTTTGCGTTGCGTCTAGTTCTTTTCACCTTGCTTACTCCCGTTCAACGCCAGTCCGCACCCTCTATATACACAACCACACCAGCCGGATAATTATATGTTGGAGGATTATGGGGATAAGGGCATGTTTGGTGAATAATTGACCGAGTTGTTTTACACACAAAAATAAACTGTATTATACGATATGCATTTTTTAAGAGTATATGTACAGCGTTCTTTCCGCACGGGGATACCAAGCAGATAATGGGAGAGGCCAGCAGGTACATGCACCATTTCAAAACCGTACGCATACATACAAACGGGTGCGCACTTTGAATATTCATTATTACATTATATTTAGAAATATAGATTTATTTATTCCAGATGCAATTTTATCAAAATTTTACAAAGTATTTCTACTGCACATTATTCTAAATACGAAGTTTTTTTCATCCTTGAAATAAATTATGTTTTTGTAGTATATTTTCTTATTACATACTTATTATTACGGTACTATTTTATTCTGCAGTTAATATTATAATTATGAGATATGTGATCCCTTAGAAGGCGAACGCTAAAACAGCTACATGCTAGGCGAATGCCGAATCAAATATGATCCGTAATAAATTTTAAATTACGAGTGATCCGACATCCATCGGCAAAGGGTTAAGAATATAATCGTCCATTTAATGTCTTCTACAAATATTATTTTTATATAAAACTTATTATAGACATAACACATTATATTTTTTATTGCCATTACTAAATATTAAACCAATAATTTACTTAATATATTTTAAAAATATAATTTATTTATATAGAAATTATACTTATGTACAAATTTTGTTATATTAAGAAATGATTTTCAAGGCATAATAGTTTAAAATAAAATTAATATATCATAGCAAATTTCTGAAACAATGTTACATATATATATATAATTTACATTATATTGTTGCTTATAATAAATATAGTTACAATTAAAATCAGTTGTGGTATTGCTTGTGAACACATATTTGGGAGTAAGAAATTAGAACCTGAAAAGATTAAAATTATGTATTATTATTTTTATAGATAGATTTTTAGTATATACTTTATCTGTATTATGTAGTCTTTACTTTTATCATTTGGATCTCGACTCCCACATTGGCGATATCCTAAAGTTAATTTACGTTTTGTAGGAACATATCCTGGAATGTATAGACTTTGTGCATCTAATCGTCCAGTAGACATGAGTTTGTTAAAATCTTGTTCTAGTTTATTTGCAAGTGGCCCTGTATGTGTAGATATAAATCAGTCTAATTATTTTAGGTAAAGTATAAATAATTCTCTACATTACCTTTAAAATGTAATAAAAACTGAATGCATGCTCCATTATGTAAGATTTTAGTTTTCCTATTGTCGATAGATAACATCCATTCAGGAATTCCCATAACTTTCCGTACATCTTCCAAAAATTGAGCACTGAAATAAACAGTACATTATTAAACAACGTTTATAATATAATATAATATAATATAATATATGAATACTAACACTACAAAACGTGGTGGTTTTCTTATATTTGCATATTTTACAATATCATGGTCAGGTTCAATATTAGCACAAGCAAATCTATTAGATCCAAAATTTTTATCAAAAATAACGATAGATCTTCCCACAGCAGATACTGAACCACCTAAGGGGAAGTTTGAATCTGTAAAAACTTGTCTTTCTAATCCTATATTAATAGGACCCAATCGGCCAGATATATCACCAAGATAACATCTTAATGGTAAATCAGGACCACATTCTTGTCTATATAGATCATCCTGTAAAATAAAATTAATATCATTTCACTGAATCAAAACATTTAATTATTTTATATTGATTAATATTATATATTAATATTATATCAGATATAATTCAAATTAATAATACATTTAAAGGATCAGCTAACTGAGTAAAGTAGGGATTCCACATATATCCGCCTGCCACACATCTAGTATCTTTTATTTGTACAGTTGCATCTACACCAACCGGATTTACATATATTGCCCAATTATGATTTTTTGTCTGTAACAAAGTATCATAAAATTAATTCTTTTAGTAAATATTTTAGATACAAAGAAAGTGTTCTTAAGACGTGCTGTATATATTTCTTGTATAATTGAAATAATGGGAAAGATTTCAAGGTTTTCTCTAATTTTTTACTTTTCTTTAAAAGAAACAGTATATTTTTTTATTCATAATATGATTATATTTGTTGAAATAAATTCAATGACCTACCATATCAAGTCATCATTGTTTATTAAATATAGTAAAATTATGAAAAATCAGAATGTCTAGCCAATATGTGTTACATATAAATTATGTGTTATATAATTTTTTTCTGTATTTTATTAATACCTTCAACAGGTGTTTAGAAAACTATTAACCTTATAATGGTGTCTTTAAGCAACTTTAAAGAGAACAGTTATATATTTAGAAGTCTAGTAATTTCAAGGACCATGTTTAGGTCTGTCATATTTAATCCAAAGAAAAAATTACACATTGTGTAAAAATTTGTGAAAAAATATTAAAACAATTTTAAATTAAACAGGTTGAAACAAATATCCATCTGCACATTTGTATGATATTTTGCGTTCATACTGACAACCATTGCTTGTCTCCTTTGTCATGATATAATCAAGAAGTGGCAAAAAACAGTGCATGCAATGCCAACAGTTATCTTCTTGTTATATACAGATATATTCAATCACTTTCCTGATAACATTTATATCTAATATCTACAGATGCAAACATACTTACCATTTAGATACTAATAAATCTGTTAAATTAGTTTAGATACTAATTAAATCTTAATAAATCTTAATTTAGTAGTATCACTTACAATATTACGGTCGTATTTACCAGGATGATGAAGTTTTACTTCAAGTATGGTTTCACTTTCACTACCATCTCGATGTACTAATTGTGTCTGCAATTATAAAGTAGGATAAATGACATAAATATTTTAACACTTTTCGAATTAACAGTACCATTTTTATATATCCATATGCAAATCCTTGTGGATGGTGAAAGGAAGCAATGGCTCGTAATTCACTAGCTTCAGATGGTGAATATCCCCTTTCTATAGAAGAGCATGCCCACCTAAACCAAAAGAGTATTGTAAAATATATAGGATGTTCTTTTAAAATCTGTTACATATTGTGCAAATAAACAATCACAGTTTGCTTACTTAAAATATTTATACTCGTTTGTGCTGAACAAGAAATCAAAATAATGTTAATAAACTTTCAAAATAGAAAATTAAAAATGAATGCAAGCCAGTGTAATATTTACAAAGACAATAAATATGTATGTGTTGGTAGATTAAACATGATGTAAATACTTGTATAATAAAAGCAACAATAAATACATATTGTTTTTTTAAATTGACTAACTCAATTTTTGAACAATTATTTAATTTACTATATAGTTTTTTAAAAATAATATTACTTGTACTTTATTCACACACAAAAATGGAATCTTGGACAAAATTTATATACTAAAATATAAAGTACAAATATAACAATGAGCAAATTATAATATCTATTTCCTTACTTACAATTAATATCATTGATTAGTAATATTTAATAATCAGTAAACCTAATTCTTGCAATAAATCATAATTACCTTAAATTTTTTTCTTTTTTGTGAATTACTATGCTTCTACCTAATACACTTCTTAATCCAAATAAAGGAAGCATTGTATCATTAAAAGCTGATGTATATCTTTTCCTGTTTTCTAAAGTTCCAAATTTGCCACTAAGATCACCCATTTCGTATTGATCAGTTGTACCTTCTCCAGAAAGTGGTGTACTATTTACATTGACACCAAATGGATTCCAGTGTCCATATAAAGATGTACCTTCGCATGGAAACTCTAAATCTGGTTCTACTGGAGTCTAAAATATGAAAATTATATTAATATTAAAAAATGAAAAGTTTAATTTTATTATATTTACCATGTGTACATGATATCCACTCATTTTTCCATTTAAACCATCAAGAATTATTTCTCCATTTGTAACATCATATTCGGTTTGTTGTATAAATTCCAATTTCCCTCTTAATGAAATGTTTTCTCCATTTCCAAACCAATCTTTTACCACACCTTTGCGACGGTGTACTTTACTAATTCTAAATAAAAAATGTACTATTAATTTATACTAATAGTACTAATATTGTTTAATGAAAATAATTTTAATACTTTAAAACTTAATTACATTATACGCACATACATTGAACATGCTAATCTTTCTCCTCTTGCACGTGGTCCATTATCATCATATATTACCAAACTTTTTCCTATTATACTATTAGGTCCAGATAAAGATAACAGTGTATCCGTAAATAGTTTTCGAGTTAAAGTAGATGCATAAAGTTTTCTACCAGCAATATCAATTGTACCGTGTCTTGTTAAATCTCCGACTCTACATGTTACTTCAGCTGATGAACAATATTCGGAATGCTTTGAATCCCACTCTACCTAATGATTTAAACATAAAATATTAAAAAAATGAAGTTTCATTAAGTATCACGAATCACATACTTAACAATTTATAATTATATAATATATAATCATACTTTATAAGGATTGTAAGGGTCTCCTGTACTTAAGCATCTACCTGTCCAATTATAGTAATCTTTTCCTGGTGGGTTATCATGAAGCATCCATCTAAATGTTTATGAAATTTTAAATATTTCTATGTAATTTTTATAAATACTATTTTAAATGTGGTTAAACACTGTACCTATGTGATGCTGAGTTGTTTAATGCGTTACCATCTGCATGTACTAAATATTCAATTATGATAGTCGTATCCATTTGAGGATTATTTTGTGACTGGCGAAAAGTTATTCTTCCAACAATGGGATACCTGTATATTGCTTGTGCTGTTATCATTGGCACTTGTCCACTATTATCCGGTAAATGGGGACTTAGTATACCACATAGCCAAGGTATTGTACTCATATTATCAGTTTCATTATACCTAATAAGAAGATATATTTATAATTTTATAAAGAGAAATGAAAAATAAAAACTATGGAAAATATTGTTACTTGTGAAGAACAAGACCTCGATGAATTACACTGTGAATTCCAGAAAGTGGAAGATATGTGTCCCAATAAATACCACTAAGTTTGGCACTTCCCGATAAAATGTCATAATGATATGATCCTTCTTTTCGACCTTGAAGTTTCCCCGAAAGGTCACCGATAGCATATTGATCTTGAGTTCCAAATCCTAAAGTACGTACTTATTTAATTTCACTCTATACTTCTTATACAAACTGAATTATTTAAGTTTAATTCGATATATACTAACCTGCTGGTGGAACTGTTGCTTCATCAATTTTGCCTGGATTGTATATTTTTCCGGTTGTTTTACATATTTCAGTAGTGTCACTTACTGTTTTTGCTGTTTCTGCAGGCAATTCATGAATTTTATATGATTTTATCTTAGTAGCATACCGTAATCTTGTTTCTAAGTCATTGACAGGTGTTAAGGATACATTAACCCATGTTGGCTCAAATGGAGTTCCTTGAGTCAGTGTCACTTCTCCTTTTATACCATGAGAACTAATTAAAGTTCTAAATATATAAAGGATGAAAAGCCAAGTATAAGTAAACAATATTACAAAGTTTCTATGCCTTATAAAGTAGAGTATTACAGAATTGTATTTTAATATAAATAAAAAATAGTAGATAATTAAAATAATTTTGTAATATCTTACTTGGTAGAAATAGTTTTCCAACGATTGATCTTGGTACACACTAAAAAGGAATCATCGTGCGTTGGATGAAAGATTACTAAGTATATGAGGCGATGAGGACCAAGTAAATCAGCAGGTAGGAGAGACAGTTCTGAATCTCTATATAAAGTTTTATACCTTTTATGATGATTAGTAGCTACTTTTATCTTGCCTAAACGCATATCAATATCACCAATAGCTTTCCCATTTCCAGCATTATCGGGGTCAAAAACAGTTTGTAGAATATTGCAACTTGACTTATCTGTAATGTAAACATAAATTGAGTAAAATTTTAATTTATTTAAAGCTGATTAATATAAATTCATAAACTAAATATATTTCATTAAAATATTGACCTTTTCCAAGGTCAAAAATATCAGTTACATAAATTTTCCAATAATGTTCTGTGTAGTCCACACTTTGTAGTTTTTGTTTATTAACATGATATAAGTCTGCATAAATTATTGTATCTGTAGTATTATCTCTAGCATGACCACCTAGCCACCGAAACCAAACAGTTCCAGCTATAGGTCCATAAAAATGTGCCTCTGCAAATTTTTCTATATTTTTTTCCAGTACCTAAGGATTATTAATATAAACATATCGACTGTATAATGCATAAATAAAAAAATTAATAACATTTATTTCTTTTATTTAGAAAATTACCGTAATTGAAGTACAAATTGTCCTAGCTGAGTATGTATCCTTCAGTATCAAACCCTTGCCCCATAAACCCATTTCTCCTGTCAAACTTATGCCAGAAACTTCCACTGTTCCTGTTTCGTTTCCAGGAAAATCCAGTGGTCCAATTAATTCTGTAAAGTCGATGATACTACGGAGTTCACAGAATTATTTTCAAATAATATGTTATTATATTACTTTATTTTTTTACTTCCGAAAAGCGTATTCAAAAATTGAAGATTCGTACCTTTTTCCAAGATATTGTTCATCACATCTATTATTTATAGATGTATAATCAACGGGAAATTGAGTAACTGACCAATACCATTGTTGATCCGGGTATTGTAAAGTAGGTTGGAGAGAAAATCGAACTTTAACGGATGTTTCCGTAGCTTTTTCGAATCGAATTTCTCCATGTAGTCCGCCAGACGAAATATATGCCGCGAGACGTAATGAATGTGTAACAGTAACTAAATCGAAGTAAGTTAATATTATAAATAAATCGTAGTTTTATGTACCTATATCATTAATAAATGTACAAACTATAATAAAATAACAATTATAAAATCTGTAATAATAAAATATTTCCATTCAATTCCTGTAAGCTTATATCAATGTTCAAATGAAAAGCGTGTATAAAAATTCAATTTAATCGTAATTTAAATGTAGAAATTGCGTTATAAAAAGATTATGTAAGAACTAAGATGAATTTGTAAATATCGGATAACCATATTAAAACAATTACTTCTTTTATCCGCTACTGTTATCTTTGACAGCTTTTAAATGTTATTTTAGATTTTCAGAATAATTTGATTATATGGAATTTTACTTACAGCAACTTATTAAGATAAACCACCACATATTGTTAAGAATTAATAACCTTTAAAATATTCTTTTTGAAATCATGGACCAGAATTCTAACTTGTAGCTTTAACCCATCCTGTGTAAAGCTGTTACTTTAGAATGAAACCGACCAAGGTAACGCGACTTGTACTTTCTCATTTCTTCGAACGATTGTGGTGGGAGTGTAGTGAAATAAGAGACCAATGACCTTCACGTTCAAGAAAAGGGAAGTGTTAAACTTTATGTATTAATAGATTTCATCAACATTTGATATTTTAAAAATAATAGTGTTATGATCATTTTTCGACATTCGTTTCTTTCAAAGTTTTCTTTCTAATCGCGATAGTAAAAAGTAATAATAATAAGAACAAAATAAATAAATGCCTTAATTTTCCAGGGTATGTATGTTAAAAAGATAACTTCATCAATTTTTCCAACAAAGTATATTAATTGATTTCTCAGAATTGATTTCAGATTCACATTTCACATTTAAAATGATCCTACATTTGTAATTATGTCTGGAGTTATAATCAGAACTTTAAAAGGTCTGAGAGTTTTAAATAAGAAGTTATAAAAGTTAAAAAAGAATAAATCATCAATTTATAGAAGCAAAAAACTACAACGTGTATGTATTTCATTAATATTCAGAAAGATTTCTTTATATTTACATTGATTTTTGATGAAGTATCCTGGATTATATTTTGTACGATGTAATAGTGTTACATTATGTGTGTATTGTATAAGACTTTATTTTCTTTAAACGCTTTCGGATCTCCTGATAATCAAAAATAAACATGTATAATCTGAACAGTAAATGTTATAATTTGAACTAAGATATATGAAAAATACTAAATATAAAAGAAGGCATTTGTTTAAAGCTTTTGCTTGTTGAATTTAAGTTTATCTTAGCTTTCACGAAATCAAGCGAAATGATTAAATAAATATTATTATTTATTATTTATTATACATAGTCGTTCCCTTTCGGGTTAAGAGGAAGAATAAATATTATATTACGCTAAATTTGTTAAGTAACAATAGAAAAGAAGGAAAAATAAATGTGCAAGATCCTGAAATTGTTGGGATCCTGATGGTCAGAACGGGTCGGAAAGACTTCGGGTTGGAAGAATGTTTGAGACTTCCACAGAAAACCAAAACTCTACTCATCAAAAATTCAACACCACGGTCGTACTCACCAAAGTCTATCTGAACGTTTTCAAGAACCCGTTCTAATCCTAAAAAGATGTCTCGTTCCGGTCCCACCTGATATTTTCGGGTTCTCGCACACGTCCACAAATTGCTATTTTGGTGATTTTGAAATTATTAAAAATTATTATGAAAATTGTTTTCACAAAAGAATTTTCATGCTCATATCATCATATTGTTCATGAACTTCAGTTTTTATTTTAACCTTAAAGATTTTTTTGTTTCAAGTCTTTTTCATAGTACAAAAGTACTGTAAATATTTTTATTTTCCAACGTGAAGTCTAGATTAAAATCTTAAATATTAAAAAGAAATCAACATATTCTCTGATTTTCCGCCGTAAACTTCATATTTTTTTAGTTCGTGGAAGTTTTAAATAGTAAGCAGGGCAAGTCGATAAAAGTATATAGAGATTCAGGTTGAAAGTAAATGCGTTGCTCACGTGATCGATGACTTGTCGAATAAACTTGGAAAATATCCTTTATACCTACTTACTATAAACGATATGATACAGGGCGTTGCTATTAAATGAGAGTGATGGATTATCTTACAAAAAAATTGATGAAAATTATGAAAACAATGTTGATATCAAAATTGTTTAATATAAAGTAACATATTACCTAGTATAAACTATTTTTGTCTTGGTGTGCCAATAGAGAAGATTTGAAGGTGAAGTTAATTTTCTTAAATGAAACTGAAATTTTCTGAAAAACTGAAAACTTTTTTTAAATTAACTTTCTTAAATGAAATTTGTGTTTATTTATAACATAACGGATGTTCAGGCAAATTCAATGATCTGCTATATTATCAAACTGGTTTACTATTAAAGGGCACATTACGAATTGGTATAGGTGTTTTATTATTAACATTATATGTATAATTTTAATATAATTAATATAATTTTGATTTTTAAAAAGTCCAGTGTTGACAAAGGTTATGCAACCATATTGGTTACCATTTATAACGTAGACCATTTGTCGGTAGTCCATATGTTTGACATATCTATAGTAAAGGTATAAATTGATAAGATTGCAATCACGTCAATGCATATGACATGATTTTCTTATCTTCTTTTGTGCGTCTTACAATTATCCTTTTGGCTTCAAAACATTAATGTAGTACTTATGTCTCTTCATTCCATCGTGGAACAATGGCATTCCTGTGTTTGACGTCCGCGCTTTGCTTATAAATTGTTTCGTCCAGTCAATATATTTGTGTTCTTTAAATTCTCAAATTCCTATTTCCATTCTTTCAACATATATTAATTGATTATTAATTGAATATTAATTAGATTATTAATATATTCTTGTTATTACAAGTTCATCCGTGGAAAACGAAAATTAAAATACATTATTAATACCATCGGAAATATATTTGAATGTTTTATATTTATTGCAGCAGTAACATTTTTCTCAGGCTAAGCATATTTGATTAAGATTTGAATTTGTTTCGCACAAGAAGATAACATGGTCACGAGACGTTTAGCTAACTGATATCATCTAGTACGCGTTAAGGTGACTTCGATGTAGCAGATCATTGAATTTATCTTAACATCAGCTATTATATTATAAGTAACAAATATAGAGTGTCAGCAAAAAAATGAACTTTACCTTTGAATTTCCTCCATTACTATCCTCATATGCATCAACATTATTAAAAATTAACATTAAACCTACCGAGACCGGTCAAATTAATCGTTCCAAACTTTTGCATACAATTTCCCACATAAAACGTTATCATATCGCAATTTATTTTTGCGGCTTTTCCTAAAATATGCGTACATGATATTTTTTAGTATTTCCTTCTGCTTTCACTTTCTTTTTTTCGAGAAATATATGTAAGCTGTTCTACCTACCACGATCGATCAGTTTGACCGATCGAAGTGTTTATGATATTTAGTCTTCTAAACTTAAAGACTCGTTACAGTAGAACGGCTATCTGAATGTGGTATAGTCTGAGAGTGGATTAGTCTCGTTATTACATTATTTGAAGGAAGATTACACGAATAGTTGATAACAATGTGTAGCAGAACATACTGTGCACTGGTAACCACAGACAATCTTTTTAGAAGCGTTTCACTAGCCAAGAAATTAATTGTAAAGAAACTATTATTGTTGGAATCATTCCAGGAAATAAGTGCGAATTCCTCAAATTTATAAAACAAGTAAAAGATAACATGGCACGATTTTCAATCAAATTATACGGGTAAAATGATATAATTCTTACTATATATAAAAGCAAGTTAAACAAATAAGCGCTTCTACTGAGTTCAATGCACGACTCAATAGAAATTGAAAATTGATTATTATTTATACTGGGTTATAAAAAATATAACTTTTTTAAAAGAATCGGTCACGGTACGAATAGAGTGACATGAAATGTCGATAGACCAAAATTAAGTAAAAAGAAGAATGAAGTGTCCTTTATACACGTTATAATAGTTTAAAAACAGATGTTATTTGTTTCGAAGAACAAAATTTTTGTTTTCTTCGATAGGTTTAGTGTTAAAACACATTAATTATACAATAGACGATACGTTATCACTGAATAGAGTCAGTCAGTTTATTTCAATGCTATGTGTTTGCCAGTCATTATGAATTTCATAATTCTGACTTTTACGATTATGATCTTATTCTTTGGCGTGTTTTAAACATTAGTGGTTTAGTAACAATTTTCAATCATTATCACTTTATTATCATCAGATAGGCAATTTCTCAGGGTTCCCTTCAGAGTAAGCAAATAATGATGTTATCAATAAATTAATTTCGATGCAGCATTTGGGACAAGCTGAGGAGCTCCCGCAATGTCGTGTAATTTTTAAATAAAATGATTTGGATGTAGGAAAGAGGAAAAGGGAGACATAGTTGGTCCGAAGAATCAGTACAGAAAGCTATTGAAGCAGTTATACAGGAAAATCGGAGTAGCGTAAAGTAGCTGCAAATTTTAGTGTACCCAAATTTACGTTGGGAGGAAGATCCTTCTCATGGAGAAAATCCTTAGTAAGTACTTACACAAGACTGGCTTAGGATCCTTCAAATCTCTGTTTTCAATTGGCACCCCGTATGTGTGATATGTTCAAATAGATACATCTTATCTTGCCCATACATGGAATAAGACAAAACTGTTATTTACAAAATTATCTTTTTGTACTTTATCCATTAAGTTTTATAAATCAATCTTATAAAATTATACAATAAGTTTTGCTTAGCATTTCTATCTTGCCCCACCTTCTCCTACATTTCTGAATATCTATGAAATATGTAGGACGATTCACACAACTGTTACAAACTATATCTTTTTCGTGGTTGAAGTTAGACAAAAATGTTTCAGAACGAAAATGAATGGTAAAACATTCTGCACATATTAACGATCACAAACTTTGTCATACGTGTAATTGTGCACGTGCATTCGGCAGTTACACTTCCTGTTTTAAATTGGAACTTACGTCTTTTTAATGCAATAGGAGTATTACAAATATATAGAAACTATTACTGGAATACTACAATTGATTAATCATAATATAAATGTAATTAATAGATTCATGTAAACAAAACATGCAGTTCCAAAAATTAGAACTAGTAAATTTAAGCGAATATATGAGATACTCAGTACCTATGAGCCTATTATCCAAGTATCCAGGTACTTAATAAAATAATTGATGGTAGAGTTAGTTAGTTTAAAGCGAAAGAACCTATTACCAGAAAATATAGATTTTTTAGTATTTTTGTCTAAAAATTAAGAAATTTAATTTAAAATAATTACTGTATTATTTTATCGTTTATCGCAAAAATATAAATTCCGTTGTAGTCATCCGAGTAACATAAGTAGAATACTCAGGTAAAACATATCGAATATAGTGGGGCCCCAAGTTACGTCCTTTTGATTTACGTCGTTTCACAGTTACATCGCCTCTATATAATGCGGTAGTTAATTGTTTTTAATCAATATTTATTTAGTTTTAACTGAATCAGTCTGAAGCTTACTCGAGTATAGAATCCGTCGTGCGATAGATTAATTTTATAACATTTTTATGCATAAGTAATTTCAGATTATATAGTTTATACACAGTTCCGATACTTATAGAACCTTATAGAAACTTATAGAAAAATATATACAGCAAACATAAGGTACACAAGTGCAATTAATTCAGAATTAAGACCATTATTTATGTATGTCTAATGGCACCACAGCATCAGATGTCCTCTTCCTTAAATTATATTGTTAAAAAAGAAATACTATAAGTTTAGAAACTAAATTAGAGACAATAAAATTTGTTTATAGTGGAATACAAGGTTTAGAGAT